TGTGTGTGTGTGCATACGTGGTGAAACGCCAAACTAATATGCCAGGATCTGGACAATAAAGATGAATGTTGTCTTATCTTATCTAAATACCCATCTTCTCTTGGAAACTGCTGTTAAATCTATGAAATTGCACCTTTCTTTTTTCATATTGAATGCCTTTTGTACTCAAAATAGTGTTTAGCTAGTTTTTTTCATAATTAGCTAGCAAGAGAAGCATCATTCAATATGATAGGCTTATAATTGAGACCAATACAGACACAAAATTATGTGGTTAAATGTGACGGGAGAAAGTACATGTGTGTGTGTGTTTGTATTTAAATGTGTATGTTTGTTTGTTTTTTTGTTTATTTGTTTGTTAATTCGTTAATTCGTTCGTTTATTTATTTGTTTGTTTGTTTGTTTGTTTAATAATTTGTTTTTTGGTTTTTTTTGTGAATTTATCACCTCGCACACCCACCTTCTATGAGGAATCAGGTTGTTAAAGAGGATGAATCCTCCATAAGGAACCGGCTCTGTCTTCACGTCCTCCACCAGGTCCACACCTACGCCACAACGGAAGGGGAAATGAAAGTAAACGGTTATGGTGGGTGCACATAGGTCAAACAAATGATTTAATTAGTATGATCGGATCTGATCAGATTGGGTCGAATAATGGTGGCGCTATTGCACACTATGCTATCATATAATAGAGAGATCACAGCCTCCATGTGTATTATTGCTTCAGTTCAAATTGATGAAACTAACAAAGAAAGTGTTGGATTGGGTTCCACAGGGTAAAAATTGAAGGGGAAGACCGCGTGGAACTGGGTCGAGGAATCATAGAAGTTGATGTAAAGAAAAATTGGAAGACACGGAACAACATCAAGAGGCTAGCCCAGGATAGAGAAAGATGGAAAGTGTTAGGGGTCTATACACTGATGACAGGTGAGAAAGGCAATGAAAAATGATGAAAATCCGGTTCCGTCATGTTAGTGGGAATATTGAATGACACCGGTGTATAAATATTTTTATGTCTGTAGAGTGTGTCATCATCTTTGCCTTTTTCACCATGGATCAGGATATAGGCCTCGAACAAACACTTTCCACCTTTCCCTATCCTGAGATAGCCTCTTGATGTTATTCAATTGTGTAAAGTGTGTGGTT